TGAGTCTTCACCCCGGTAGCAGCTCTACTCGCTTCTCCTGCAAAGCTAGCCTAATCAAACCCTCCACTCAGGAGGACCAGCAGGAACCTCCTCAGGGTCATCCTGTAAGGTCAGAGACACGAGCACCAGCTGAGCATAGCCCCCCGCTTGGAGTTGAGGTTTCAGCAACATGGGGCCCATCTGTTACGTTTCTTAGAGACACCAACCCCTTTCCTTTGTCCCCTCGGGCTGCGTGGTGAGAGAAGTTCCTGCACTTGCTACCTCTGTGATGCTTTGAAGTTCTCTTTTCACCCTTTCAAGTTAACTAGTTGATCATTTTGGACCTACTTGACAATTTTTTCAAATGTATTATTTATTTATTTGGAGGGGGGCGGCAGAAGGAGAGAGAGAGAGCATCTCAATCAGACTCCCCACTGAGCACAGAGCCCAATGTGGGGCTCCATCTCATGACCCTGAGATCACGACCAAAGCCAAAATCAAGAGTCGGATGCTTGAGCCACCCAGGTGCCCCCTTACATTAATTTATCTGTGCTCAAAACCAGGTGTAGTTTCTGCCTCCTGTGTGAACTTTGATTGACATAGCAAGTAACAAGGAATTATCAGTAGGATTATAAAAATAGATGAAGGCCATTCTCAAAGAGCCTTTTGTAACTGAGTTTGGACTTTATTCTGTAGGCTCCAGGGAACTCGGAAGCCTGCTATGCACAGAGCTGCTCTGGTTGGATGTGCATTCTAGAAGAATCACTCTGGAAGCAATGTAGCAGATGGATCTAAGAACTGGACCACAGGTATGAGGAAAAGACAGATTAAAAGAAGATAAGAACAGAAACTGAAATGGAGCAAAATTGTTGAGAAAAGAAGAGGGCCAGGTTCAAGAAATATTTAGGAGGAAAAGCCAGCAACGTGTAGTGGCTGGTTGGATGGGGGTTGTGGGGAGGGAGGAGTCTTGAATGAAGCCTCAGTTTCTCCCTTGGGTACCTAGGTAGGTAATAGTGCTATACCTGAAACTGTGACTTTAGGAAGGCAAACAGATGTGAAGAGGAAGACAATGAGTTTAGCTTTAAGTAATGTGGAAAGTTTTGTTTATCTATTGATATGTGATAAACAACCCCCAAACCTGATCACTTTTAACACAACAACCATTGTGTTATTTCTCATGATTCTGTAAGCTGGGCTGGGCTCAGCTGGACAGTTCTGCTGGTCTTGCTAGGAGTCACTTATGTGACTATAACTACGTGTGCTCAACTTGGATGCTGGGACACCTGTATTTCTCTCTCTCCATGTGATCTGTCGAGTTGCCTCATGGTTCTTACCTGGTGGCTTTAGGGTCCCAAGAACCCAAAAGTAGTAGCTTCTAACCTCTCTTGAATTTTAGCCTTGCAACTGACACAGTAATGTTTCTACCACATTCCTTCAATTAACAAGGCCGCACAAGACTCAAGGAAAGACAACACAAGAGTATGAATGGAGGGGGTGCACCTGGCTGGCTCAGGTCAGTAGAGCATGCAATTCCTGATCTTGGAGTTGTGAGTTCAAGCCCCATGTTGGATATAGAGAATACTTAAAAATAAAATGATCTTTATGTAAGAAAAAAAAAAAAGAGTAGGGGCTCCTGGGTGGCCCAGTTAAGTATCTGACTCTTGATCTCAGCTCAGGTCTTGATCTCAGGAGTTCAAACCCCATGCTGGGCTCCACACTAAGCATGGAGCCTACTTAAAAAAAAAAAAAAAAAAGTATGAATGGTTGAGAGGCATTGTTCTTTTTTTTTTTCTTTTAAGATTTTATTTACTTATTAGAGAGAGACACAGCGAGAGAAGGAACACAAGCAGAGGGGAGAAGGAGAAGCAGGCTTCCCGCTAAGCAGGGATCCCGATGTGGGGCTCGATCCCAGGGCCCTAGGATCATGACCTGCGCTGAAGGCAGCCGCTTAACGACTGAGCCACCCAGACGTTCATTAGAGGCCGTGAAAGTAAACCTATCATGAGAAATTTTATGGGGCCAAGGGGACATCCAAGTGGAGATGTTTAGCAAGCAGTTGGGAGTCTGTTGCTTGAGGATCTAGACAGGGATTAAAACATGAGAGAGGACAAAATTAGAATGCAGAGAGAAAAGCAGGGGGCCAAAGGCAGGACCATAAGGTTGTATATCTAAGAAGTGAGCACTCAGTGAGCCTGACAAAGGTCAGTCTGATATCATGGATGCCAAGAAAGTAGAGTTTCAAGGACTAAGTGGCCCGCCATGTCTAATGCAGCGGACAGCACCAGAATGTGACCAAAGCATCTATTGGATTTCTCACAATGGCAGACATCATAGTGGACAGAGTTTTTTGTTTTTTTGTTTTTTTGTTTTGTTTTTCCTTTTCCGAGACTACTTCTTTTTTTTTTTTTTTTAAGCAGTTTTATATTCATAGCAAATTTAAGGGGCAGGTTGGATGCCTGGGTGGCTCAGTCAGTTAAGCCACTACCTCCAGCTCAGGTCATGATCCGGAGTCCTGGGATGGAGCCCCGCATTGGGCTTCTTGCTCAGTGGGGAGCCTGCTTCTCTCTCTACCTCTGCCTGCTACTCTGCCTGCTTGTGCACACTCTCTCTCTGACAAATAAATAAATAAATAAAATCTTGAAAAAAAAAATTAAGGGGCAGGTACAAGACTTCCCATATACCCCCAACTCCCACACATGCACAACCTCCCCGATTATCAGTATCCCCTACTGGAATGCTACATTTGTTACAGTTGTTCTAGACCCACCTTGATATATCATCATCACCCAAAGTCCAGAGTTTTGCCTTAAGGTTCACTCTTGGTGGTGTATGGTATGGGTTTGGACAAATGCATTAATGTCATGTATCTATCATTATAGCATCACTATCCTAAAAATCTTCTGTGCTCTGCAACATGTTTTTGACTACTCAAAATCCATGTCTCCTTCTTCAGATAGTGGCACCTTAATTTGATCTCTCCCTCTCAAAGTCCATGTGGTTTGGAAAGCACTAATCATCTCCCGTACACAGTCCCCAGAGTGGAGCATTTAATTCAGGTCTGCCCAGTTGGAATGCTGGATGCACATCCAGGCCCCATCGATAGATTCAGTGCCAAGCCAATGAGTTACAGTTTCAGAACTTTATATTGAAAGTAGCAGGAGAAAAAGGTGCCTGGCTGGCTCAGTCAGTAGAACATGTGACTCTGGAACTTGGGGTCATGAGTTCAAGCCCTATAAGACATCAACTGAAAGTAGTAGGAAAAAGACTGCCTCATGGCTGGTGTTGCTAAGAGCACTGGGAAGTAGGGACAGAGGCCTTGTGGAATGGGAGACCACTCTGTGAGGCCAACCTAGAAAGTAGTAGAGCAAAGAAGTGGATAGTGAGGGGGAAGGAGAGACTAAATCCAAATGACATTCTTTGACTCACTGGATCCCAACAGGCCTGAAGTTACCCCTACCCTTGAACTTTTCTGTTAAGAGCGATAAGTGACATCTTCATTTCCTTGAGCCAGGTTGAGCTGGGTTTTTTTAACTTGCAGTCTAAAACAATCTTGACCAAAGAGATACTAATTAAAAATGGAGAAGTTGCAATGTTGAAACATATATTTAAACTAATTTTTTAAAAGTTTTCACTGGCCTCATAATCAGACTTTTTAGAGCACAGACTGATAGGGACTCAAACTGTCCCAAGAGAGTGTGGACATTTTTAATCCCCACAGAGTATCTCTGTAGGAAAGGGAAAACAGAATGGAAGAACGGCAGAGAGATGAAAGCAAAGATTTCAGGCATAGGCCCTCAGGCCCAAGCAACAAGGGTTGAGTTTCTTGCCTTTAAACACATCAGGTATGCAAGAATCATTACCTGTTTCTTAATACGGATTTTTAGAACTTTCTGGCAACTCTTTACACACAAAAAGTGTTTAGTTATTATTTGTTTGGATCATTGCTATAACCTGTCTCTACCTTCTTTAAGGTATTATAGTGGCATATGCATAGAATAGTGGTGGGACGGGAGAATGAGATTGAGGAGGAGAAGAGTTTCTCTTTAAAGTTTTCACCCTGTCTATTAACTGAGAATCATACTTTTTTACTTTTTTTTAAAGATTTTATTTATTTATTAGAGAGCAAGTGTGTGTAGGAGTGGAGAGGAGGGGCAGAGGGAGAGAAAAAAGCAGACTTCCCACTGAGCAAGGAGCCCCAAGTGGGGCTCCATCCCAGGACCATGGGATCATGACCTGAGCTGAAGGCAGACGCCTAACCGACTGAGCCAGCCAGGCGCCCCTCATATGTCAAGTTCTAACCCCCCAATACCTTAGAATGTGACCTTGGATACAGGGTCTTTACAGATCAAATCAAGTTAAAATGAAATCATGAGTATGACCCTAATCAAACGTGACCGTGTCCTTATAGAAGGGAAATTAGGAAACACGTGGAGACAGGGAGAATGCCATGTGGAGATGAAGGCAGAAGTCAGGGTGATGCTTCTACAAGCCAAGAAACGCCTAAGTTTGTCAGCATACCGCCAGAAACTAGGGGAGAGTCATGGGAACAGACTCTTCCTGACAGCCCTCCAAGGGAGCCAGCCCTGCCCGCACTTCGGGATTTGGACATCCAGCCTCTAGAACTCTGAGGCAATTACGTTTTGTTGTTTAAGCCACTCAATTTGTGGTGCTCCATTACAGCAGCCCTAGGAAACTATTCCAACCATTACGTACATCTCTCAGAAAGAAAATGATGTCTCCTCACCCCTTCAAATGCACAAATTGAAGGTCTGTTTTAAAAAAACAGAAGAAGGGGCGCCTGGGTGGCTCAGTAGGTTAAGCCTCTGCCTTCGGCTCAGGTCATGATCTCAGGGTCCTGGGATCGAGCCCCGCATCGGGCTCTCTGCTCAGCGGGGAGGCTGCTTCCCCCACCCCCTGCCTGCCTCTCTGCCTACTTGTGATTTCTATACATCAAATAAATAAATAAAATCTGAAAAAAAAAAAACAAAACAAAACAGAAGTAAAGGCCATGCAGAAAACAATTTAAAAATCACATTGTAAATTGAACAGTTTGATCTGTGCTCTTAAACCATCTTTAAGCTGACTTTTCAAACAAACACCCTTACCGATCAATACATACATTCTCCATTTGCTTTTTCTTTCTTTTTTCTTTTTTTTTTTAAGATTTTATTTATTTATTTGACAGACAGAGATCACAAGTAGGCAGAGAGGCAGGCAGAGAGAGAGGAGGAAGCAGGCTCCCTGCTGAGCAGAGAGCCCGATTCGAGGCTCGATCCCAGGACCCTGGGATCATGACCTGAACCGAAGGCAGAGGCTTTAACCCACTGAGCCACCCAGGCGCCCTCCATTTGCTTTTTCAATAAAATGATAGCCTCTAAAGAATTCCCAATCAGCTGAAGAACTGGTTTATATTACCTTTTTTTTTTTTTTTAAGATTTTATGTATTTATTTAACAGAGAGAGAGAGATCACAAGTAGGTGGAGAGGGAGAGGAGGAAGCAGGCTCCCAGCTGAGCAGAGATCCCGAGTGGGGCTTGATCCAAGGACCCTGAGATCACGACCTGAGCCAAAGGCAGAGATTCAACCCACTGAGCCACCCAGATGCCCAAGCACCTGAGTCTTGATTTCAGCTCAGGTGCAGAGCTAGAGTTCAAGAGCCATGTTGGGCTCCAACGCTGGCCATGGAGCCCACTTTAAAAAAAAGGGGGTTGGCGCCTGGGTGGCTCAGTCAGTAGGCATTTGCCTTTGGCTCAGGTCCTGATCTTAGGGTCCTGGGATCCAGCCCCATGTCGGGCTCCCTGCTCAGTAGGGGGTCTGCTTCTCCCTCACCCTCTGCCCCTTCTCCCTGCTTGTGTTCTCTCTCTCTCAAATAAATAAATAAAATCTTTAAAAAAAAAAAGTGTGGGATGGAAAGAAGACACACCCACTTAACAGATGAGAAAAAAGACTCAAGCAAAGAAGGTATTGGTTCTGTATCCTCTGATACCAAAGTTTATGCTGTCAACATCATTTTTGTGTAGCCTCTCCATGCTCAGTCACAAGGGGCCTGACCACAGAGTCCTCTCTTGAAATGCTAACTTAACAGACAAGTTTTGGCTTCCCTCTGAGGACACCAAGAAAAGAATGGGGATAGAGAAGAAAGTGTTAATAGCCCAAATTACAGCAATTCCCTAAGATGCAATTTTGTAACTTTATTTTAGTCACTGCTAAATGGCTACCATCTCCCAACTCCTACATCTCCATATGCTTTATATTCATTCTCTCATTTAACCCTAACACTGAGCCTCTCAGGTAAAGAGTATTGTTTTACTGTCACTTGCTTGAGTTCCAACTATATTACATACATTATATGTACATATTACACATTAATGTATGTATATAGAGAGGGAAGATTTATATATTTATATATGTGTAGCCATCCATGCTTATATTTATAGGTGTATATATAGATACACACATACATACAATAGAAAAAATACATACGTGTGTTTGTATATTACATGTTTCACAGAAGAGTGATATGGATTTAGTAGATCACATTGGCCACCAGCTAAGGAATTTTAGGACACGCATGCCCCATTTGATAGAACCTTACAAGAACTGATGCTAACATGAAATATTTAACAATAGCAAAAGCCTGGAGGAAATACGAATGCAAAAATAACACTAGAGTAAGGAAAGTAATCTTAGCACTGGTGTGATTTCACCCACATGATGTAGCCGTCTTAGGAAAGTGGGGACCATTAAGCAAACATTCCAGAAGCATGTGACATTATTCCAAGATTCGAAGCCTCAAAATAGATTATTATAATTTATGTAACTATTTGCAGTGATTAACTGTTCAGATTCACCATCTGAACTGATAGATTCACCATCATCTATCCTTGGCTTAAAACCATTCAGTGACTTCCCGTTAGACTTGGAATAAAAGTCTGAGTCCTTACCATGACTTTCGTGGTTGGTCAGGGTCTGGGAAAACAGGAAATTCATGAAAGAGGTGGTGGGAACACTAAGGTAAGTGAACTGCAGGAAGTAGCTCCCACCTTGGGAGAACAAGCTAGGGAGAGTAGAGCTAGAAGAATCAGAAGAGCCTGTAAGAACCTGGAGGCTGAACGAAATGCCACTGTGAGAAGCAGCATTGTCATTACTTAGGTGACCATGATGAGAACTGCAAGCAAACAGGCATGAGTAACTCTCTTTTCCCTCCCCCTGCCTTCCAGATTCCCTGGATCCTCTCCTGGTGACAAAACCTAACCCTAGCTGACAAAGGAGCAATATGGTTTGCAGCCCCAGTGTTGCGGAACAGAATAGGGAAAACTGGATTTGGAGGTGAGAGGCCAGCCCAGCCTTCAAGAGCCTCTGTGATCTAGCACCAGCCTCCGTCAATAGCCTGATTCCTTCCATTCTCCCCACCATGTGCTCAATTCCAGTCACACTGGGTGTCTTTTTCTTTCCTAAACACACTAAGCTCATTCCCGCCCCAGACATTCACACATGCTATTCCCTTTCCCCAGAAGTACCTTTTCCCCCTTGGGTCATATTCATTTAGGGTATAACTTAAAGCCACCAACGAAAGAGGATTTCTCTGACTTCATCAAATCTACAAAAGCAACCCTCTCCCCACTCACGTTCCATAAAATTCCCCCATTTTCATTTTATTCATAGCATTAATCTCTATTTAAGATTATCCTTTTTTTTTTTTTTTAAGATTTTATTTTTAAGTAATCTCCACACCCAACATGGGGCTCACACTCACAACTCGGAGATCAAGAGTTGAACACTCAAGGGACGCCTGGGTGGCTCAGCAGTTTAAAGCCTCTGCCTTCAGCTCAGGTCATGATCCCTGGGTCCTGGGATCGAGCCCCACATCTCTGCTCAGTGGGGAGCCTGCTTCCTCCTCTCTCTCTCTGCCTGCCTCTCTGCCTACTTGTGATCTCTCTCTCTCTCTCTGTAAAATAAGTAAATAAAATCTTAAAAAAAAAAAAAAAGAGTTGTACACTCCAGGGCGCCTGGGTGGCTCAGTCGTTAGGCATCTGCCTTGGAATCAGGTCATGATCCCAGGGTCCTGGGGTGGCGTCCCACGTCAGGCTTCCTGCTCAGCGAGGAGTCTGCTTCTCCCTCTCGCACTCCCCCTACTTGTGTTTCCTCTCTTGCTGTCTCTCCCTGTCAATTAAATATCATTTTAAAAAATTAATTAATTTTGAAAAAGTGGTTTCTTGTTTGTTTCTTCCCTAAAAATATGGGGGAGGATTTGTGTCTTATTCATCACTGTATCTTTGGGGTACCAAATGGCGCCAGGTATACAATTTACTAACTATAGAATAAATGCATTTTTAAAACGTTTTAACGATTTTATTTATTTATTTAATAGAGAGAGCACAAACAAGGGGAACAGGAGAGGCAGGCTCCCTGCTGAGCAGGGAGCCCGATGTGGGACAGGATCCCAGGACCCCAGGATCATGACCTGAGCTGAAGGCAGACGCTTAACAGACTGAGCCACCCAGCCATCCCTGAATTCTCATTTCTGCTTAGGTCATGATTTCAGGGTCCTGAGGTAGAGCCCTGCCTCAGGCCCTACGCTCCGCTGGACTCTGCTTGAGGTTCTTCACCCTCCTCACAGACTCCTCCCCACACCTCTAATAAATAAATAAAATCTTTTTTTTTAAAAGTGTCACTCTACTTTCCCCAGTGCTTTCATATACTTCACCTTATTTAGCTTTCCTTCATTTTTTGGTGCAATGGTAGGGTCCTTGGGCAATGGTGAGGACACCAAAACCTTCTTGGGGACCAAAGAGAGACAGTGGATGAGTGACCTCTGCCGACATCTCCAGGAGGGGCCCCCAGAGAAGAGCCGTAACGGGACACCTTCCCTGTGTTCAAAGCAAAGACTATCCAGGACATATGTGTTTCTCTGGGGACCTACTCGAAGGGACCCCCCAAGTGGGGCACTGGCTGGGGTGGTTTCCCTGGGTTTAAGGTAGCCATCTAGTGGACTCGAGTCTCCAGACTGATCCAGACCCTGCGATTAAACTGCTGGGTGATCCTGGGCAGCAAGTAAGTTACCGGGTCCCCCTGGTCGCCCTTCTCCATCTGGAAAATGGGTAGGTAACATGGGCTAGGATTTCTGAGGTTCTGGGAGGTTCATCCTCTGACCCATTTGGTTAGGACAAGCTGGGCCGGGCGAGTTTTGAATACTGGAGACTCAGCAAACCTTTCAAACTTAGGAATGAATGAATGAATGAAACAGCTGGAGGAGTCAAGGGGCTGGAGACACCAAACTGCTGGGAGAACTAAAGTTTGCAGGTCATAAGAGGAGGTCAAGGGGTCAGACGTCGGGTTCCGGTCAAACCCAAGAAGAACCGGAAGTCCCAGATCCGGTCCGCTCAGAGCCCGGGCCTCCAGCCGCGTGACTAAACCTCCCGAGGCGGAGCTTCGGCACCGGGAGAGGGCGGAGTCGGGGCCTCCCAATGGTAGCGCCGGTGTCCTCCCACCTCAGCCAATCAGCGCAGGGAGACGGCAAAATTTAAACCCCCTCCCACCTCCTCCGCAGGGACCTGTCCCTAAAGCGCTTGTAGAAAGTGCGGATGCTTGCCCCGCCCCCGCTAGGGAGGCGGGAAGAGGGGCGGGTTTTCCCTCCTGGGTTCGCCTATCACGGCGGGCAGCCTGGGGAGAGGCGGGCAACGGCGCCAATCAGGGCAGCAGCCGTATCTCAGCGGAGCAGTTGGCTACAGTTGTTGCAACTTTTTTCGAAAGCTGCGTTTCCCGGGAGATCCTAGGCGGTGACAGAGCCGGGCCATGGCTAGAGGTATTTGCCCAGGTGGTCAGCGCCGGGGCGGCTGGGGTGGGGGATCGTGCGGGCGGGGGACCAGGGTGGCGGCAGCGGCAGCGGGGAGCCGGTCTGCTGAGGTCTTCTCGGATGGAGCGCGGAGACGGGACTGGGGGGGCGGGGGTTGTTGCGGAACCTTCTCTGACCCCCCATCCAAGTCTCCAGAAATCCCTCCCACTCCCATGCCTCGGTTTCCCCTTTCTAAAGTGTGGGCACCCGCCGGCCTGCCTCTCCAGGAACAACAGATCCGTATGTCAAAGCTCTTCGGGGACTACCTCCAGGCACTGGATGTTATTGATACGGGGAGGGGGGAGGGCGAAGCTTCGCCCGTTTCGGGGCTCTCTCTTGCTGGGAAAGGAGGTGACTCCGAGGCCAGGGCGCAGATGGGTAACCTCCATCGTGGAGAGCGCGTCGGCGTGGACACCGCAGCGGGCGCCTTTCCTCTCCACGCCCTGAGTTACCTCATTTGGGGGGATGAGATGAGTCCCATGGCACCACCCGGGCGCCCCTTCGTCCCGCAGCTGGTCAGGACTCCTGCCCACGGAGATGGCTTGGGTGGGATTGTCCAGCCGCGGGAGGCGATGTCGCTGCCTTAAGTCCTTCTTTGCACACTTAGTTTGCTGTCAGGACAGTAAGACCCACGTTATGCGGCAAAGTGATCTCCAGCCGCTGGTCATTCCCAGCTGCTGTGTCTCCTTCATACAAAAACTTGAGCGTGACGGTTGAGTAGAATTATTATTTCAGAAAAATGAGTTGAGGTTTGACATTTTCCTCAAAATCCCAAGGCAGTACACGTTAGCAGGAATTTGCCTTAATGCAGTACGCTCCCTATTACAATAATAATGAATAAAATAAGATTCATTCAGCAAATATTTATTGGGGACCTTTGTTTTCAGGCCCTACACCGAATTGCATTCTTTGTTATCTAGAGTCTTTTAGTTAGTGTCTTTCGGAACAACCCAGGTTCTGATTAAGAAATGAGGCAAAGTGAACTTCAAATTAACGTGGTTCATAACCCGGCCCACAGAGAGAGTTAAGACGAATATTTTTTCTTCAGGAAAGTATTAAGCATCTAAAAGTATATTTAATAGTATCTGACAAATCATAATAAATGTATGCTTCCCCAATTCATTTTTCCCATTAGAACAAAATCATTCAAGCTGTTTTAACAGTAGTGCCTTTAAAAGAAAAAAAAAAAAAGATGGCTTGCTTTAATTAATCTATAGGGAAAACAAAACTAAGCAATTTGCCATTGAAATATTTAAATACTTAATATAGGCAAATACTAATTACCATTGAGGGCCAGGCACTTTATTATCTCAGTTAATCTTTACAAATTGTTATTCCCATTTTTCAGAGGTGGAAGCTTGAAGTCCAGTGCCACTGTCTAGACTCTGACCATGCTATGCCTTTCCTTGTTCCACTGTGTCCCTTAGCCAAAGTGAAGACAAGTGTTCCCAGCTCACATGGTGGCAGGCTTACAAATCACCTTTGTAATTTATTGGTTAGTGATTCTCCCTTTACCACTTGACACCCAAATTGTAGTCATTTCTTTCTCTCTTTCTTTCTTTCATAGTTACTTATTTCTTAAGGCTTTGTTACTCTTGTAGATTATTAAATTGGGCATTTGGTAGTGTAAATATCAAACCCTTTTTAATACTCTGAATGAAGAGTCAGGCTTTTTCTTCTAGAAAAGCTGTCTTTGTTGCAAACTTGTAGCTCACTTTGAGAACCCAGCTGGGTCCCATGAACAAAATGTTCAGATACCAGGCAACTCCTCTCTGGTTTTAAAGTTTTACAGTCATGTAAATATTTTCAACCTTAAGTATATTAGTTTGAGGAGAATTAGCCCATCTGCTTTTCTCCATTTCTGCTGCCATGGCCAGATGGCCTCCTAATTGGTCCCCCTCTTTCCACTTTCACCATTTTCAATTTATTATCCCCCAGCAGCTAGAGTGGTCCCCACGAACACAGTTTTTTATCATGTGACCTTCACTCCTCCTCCCTCTCCCACTGTTCTTAGGATCAAACTCACAATCCTCACCCTGGCCTGCAGGGCCCTGCCTACCCCTCTGGCTCAGTGTGCTCCATCTGCCTTTGCGTACGCTGTTGTGTCCTTAGCAAGGGCCAGCAACGAAGTAGGTATTCAATAAATGTTTGTGGAATGAACAAATTCCTATTTTTGTGTCTGAGTTCAAGGGAAGCAATATACAGTCTTTATGGTAGAGTACACTGGTACAGCAGCAGCACTGGGTTCAGATCTCAGCTCTATTACCACTTGAGTCGTGTAATTCTGTCAACTGATTGATCTTTACTGAGCCTCAATTTCTACATTTGTGCAATAGGGATAGTACCTTCTCATAAAGGGTTGGGAAGGGTAAATTAAATAATGCATTTTTGTAGGGCCTAGCATGTAAATATTGAATAAATGTTAGCTATTAGTGTCATTCCTGCTGAATTCTATTTCTGTGAGATCCTGGACAACATTAAGAGTTTTTATTTCTGCTGATGGGTATATTCATTACATACACATAAACACCTCATGTCCGGAAAGAGGAAAGACTGTGTTGAAGGTTACATTGAATGATTTGTGTTAGATCTTCCAGAACCAGAGCTGCAGATTTGAGGGATGGGTGCTAGACTTGGATCTGAATGTATGTGCCCCCTGCATTTGAGGGCCGAAACCGAGAAAGCTGTGGCCCTGAGCATGTGTGTGTAGCTGCAGGTGGGGGGGTGGGAGGATGTTGAAATAGCATGTGAAGTAGAAAAGATGATCTGAGTGGCTGCTTCCTGTTCTCAAACCACGATTCCCATGATTGTT